TATAAGAAAAAGAATATATCTCTTTTTAGCTCGCCAATGTTTACGTAGCATTTCTTACAGTACCTGGACCATAGCAGTTACTCATTAAATATCAGTGGAAAGAAAGAATAGGAAGAATTTTTTAAAAATCTAAATAAAAAAAATCTAAACATGAGACTGCACTTAATGCATATTGTGACTCTCAGAGACTGATTATTTGATGGAGAAGCAACATGTAGTTCTGCCTCCAACTTAAGTAAAAATTGTAGAAGAAAAAGTTTTTGAATTAGTGAACATATTTGATACTTCTTAATATTAAAGAAGAGTTCCTACTCTCTCCTTTATTTGTGAAAGTCTTCATGTTTATATATTGCAAGTATTTATTTAGTACCCATAGTATTTCAAGAAATATATGTAGCACAAGAGATTCAATGAGACACAAGACAAACCTATTTCCTTCCTAAGACCAAAATTATGTTAGTAAATACCCACATGGAGTTGTTTCATAATCACATCTTAAATGGGATTTTTTTTTACATACATATACTCTTTTCCTATATTTAGATACAAAGAATATTCTTCACTTACACTAAAAATTATGTTTTCTCCCCTTTTTTTTGAAACATATTTACCTTTGGTAGAAACACAGATATGGGCAGTGGGCCTTCTGGCTCACTGACAACCAGTGCCAACTGAAAGGAAAGCAGCAATCTGCTGAGTAGTTTATAGTAACTATGCACAAGTCCTTCAGAACCTTTGCACTGATCCTGAACTCTGTGGGAGTCAGCAGTGTTATTCTCTCCCAAGAAAGGCCTGCATTTTTAGGCTTTATTAGAAGAAATGCAACTTCCAAAAATTGAATGTGAAAGGAACTGAACAAAAACATGTTGAATTAGTCAATATTAATTTTTCACAGATTTTGTATTTGTGACTTTGCTCACTAAAATTTATTTGTAATACCCAAATCAATACTCATGGCACTTACATGGTCATTCATGGACATGTGCATGTGCAAAATCACCTAAAATTTGAGTTACCTGACACGCACATTCCTAGCTGAGGTGGAAAAAGGTGATGCCTTTTTGGTTCAGCTCTCATAACGCCTCTTTTTCATGCTACAGCTACTGTATTTTTGTGTTTTTTCTTAGTGATTTTGCTGCCTAAAATGGCCCTAGTGCTGTCTAGTGTCCCTAAGTAAAAGAAGGCTATGATGTGCCTTACAGAGAAAATATTTTTAGATAAGCTTTGTTAAGGCATGAGTTATAGTGCTGTTGGCCATGCGTGAGTTCAGTGTTAATGAATCAATAATGTATATTAAATAAGGTATCTTGAGACAAGGTTATGTATTGATCAGTTGATGAAAATCCTGTGACCAGAGACTCGCAGGAACCTAACCCTGCATTTCTCTTATAAACAATAATTCAGTATTCATTGAGTGATTTTATAGAACTACAACCAGTAACAAAAAGCAACTACATATAGATATGTAATAGTGAATTACAAATTATTACCTATAAAGAAACAATGGATGTGCCATTACAGATTTTTTAAAAGTTTGCAGATAGGGCTGGGTGCAGTGACTCATGCCTGCCTGGAATCTTAGCACTTTGGAAGGCTAAGGCAGGAGGATTGCTTTGAGACCAGCCTAGGTAACATAGTGAGACAGTTTCTAAAAAATAAATGAATAAATAATATTAACATTTATTGAGCATTCACAATGTACAATGCATGGTACTAGGAAGGCTTATAGATGATTAATAATTTTTTTCACAAATGGGGTCCTGCTCTGTCATTTAGGAAACAGTGCAGTGGCAAGATCATAGCTCACTGTAGCCTCAAACTCCTGGGGCTCAAGGGATACTCTCACCTCAGCCTCCCAAGTAATTGGTATTATAGGCACATACTACCAAGCCCTATTATTTTACGATCTAATATCATGCTGCTATTGATTTGAGATACTGCATTTGTAACAAGTTCCCAGGCAATGCTGATGCTGCTTTTGAAGGCCATACTTTTCAATAAAGAGACTACAGATCAAGATTGTTATTACATAATGAGGTCTGAGAAGGGGAGAACAAGCAGTGGGGGTGGGGGTGGAAGTAAGACAGGAGACTTTGGTTTCCCCTTCTTTGAGAATCCATCATGTTACCTTAAAACCTAATTGGGTGAACTCTATCACCAAGAAGTTAATTGTGGCACTGAGAACAGCTTTTATTGGGAGTAAATCCACTTATGAGGCAGATTACTACCTCATTTGAAAGACAGCAAAATTTAAAACTTCAGTTACTGAGTCTCTCCTATGTGCATAATTCATTCTTCACTTAGTGTTTGAATTCCCTTTTCTACGCCCATTCCCTACAATACTTATCTTCAATGTTGCATTTCCTAAGTCATCAGTATTTATAGTTTGCTTTGACACAAACGTTAAGAACATTTTCAAAATTCCAAGTATGTAATTTCTCATTGTTTAAACATTATTTTCTAAGATTTTTTGCAATGTGGCCATTTGTACTTTCTAGAAATATATTAACGTTTTCTTTGCATCCTAGTACTTCAGGATAATTTGAAAAGCATGAAAATAAGGTAAAAAGGTAAAATATATTATACATACATAACTTTTAACTATTTAACTATTCTTTACCTCTTAACTTTCTACTTACTTGATTTACCAAAGACCGTAAGTGTTGAAATCAAGAGTCCAACAGTTTTTGCTATACAGATTCTCTTTATTTGAAGGATTACTCAATGAATTTTAAGTACATAAAATTTACTAATTTTAAATGTACATATCTTTAAATACATGTATATTGATTTACATAAAACCCACATCAAGATATGGCACATTTGTTTTGCATATGAATGCCATGTTATTTATCACATAAAATCTCTTAAATGTTACATACTTTACTGTATGTTTTATACAAAATATGTGATATGGATTTTGTCCAATGAAAAATGTTGCTGTTTCTATTTCTATGACCTATACTCTCTATTATCTTTAAATCTTTTTTCCTTTGTTTTATACAAATGTGAGTATCCCAGGTTAGAGACTGATTTTTTACCCAATTTCAATTTTTTAATAGGGATATTTAACCAGTTTATAACCCATCTGTACACCTGCCAATCTATTATGTACTAATTTTAATGCTTCCTTTCTGTTTTTCTTTTGCTATGTTTTGTTTTCTTACCACTTCCTCTGTAATCCAAAAAATTGGAATGTATATATTCTATTTTTGTTCCTAACACTTATTTTAATGTCAGATTTACTTATATGAACTATTATATGATGCAGTAACTATTGTTTTTCCCCATGCAACATGTAAATACTACAAGGTTTTATCCACCCTCTCCTCAACAAGTATTAACCTTATGGAAAACTTACTATGTTTTCCCCTCCTATGATTAAAAACAAGTGGAAAAAGCCTATTTTGACTGCTTTTCAATTTTGACAGATCAATATTCAGAATGTTTTTATTCTATTTGTCCTGTCTACAGTGACAAAACCCTTTCATTTTACTTATGTTTAGCTGAAGAACATGCATATCTTTATCTACAATACACGTTGAAAATAAAACAATATTTGTCCAATATGCCAATATATTGAACATCTGGCATTCCCTTTCACAGTTTAAATCTATCTAAACTGAAAATTTAGATCCAGTTTACATTTCTGTTTTTGTATTTAGTTTTAATACTCTGTATATAACAATTTAAACTTAATGTTCCTTAACTAATTTTAGTGTTTACCATTAATTCTTTCAAACAACTGCCTCCCTACTTTAGTTATTTTAATTCTGGCTCTCTCTTGGGTGCAGTAAATCATAGAGCAAAATTTTCAAGGAAGGTTCTTGGTTGATATACTTTCTTAACCCCTGCATATCTGAGAATGTCTTCCAGTTGCCTTCATACAGAAATGATAACTTGGCAGGGTACATAATTCTTGGCTCAAAATTATTTTCCCTTAAAACTCTGTAAATATTGTTCCATTGTCTTCTGGCATTTAGAGTTGCAAGAGAGAAATCTGAGGTCAGCCTGACTTTTATCCCTTTATAGGTAACCTGCTTTCTCTGTCTGGATGCTTGCAAAATTTTATCTTTATCCTTGTAATTTAAAAATGTCACCAGGATATGTCTAGGTGTAGCTTTCTTTTCGTTAAATTTTAAAGGTACCCTATGAGCTGTTTCTACTTGTAGATCTAATTCAATCTTCAATTCTGGAAAATTTTCTTCAATTAGTTCCTTAATTATTGTTTCAGCTCCATTTGCTTTGTCCTCTGTTTCAGGTAGTCCTATTATGCGTAGATTGTATCTCCTGGACCGGCCTTCTGGCTCTCTCTTTTTCTCCTCTCTTCTTATTTTAATTTCTTTTCCCCTTTTCTCTGCGTTCTCTGAGAGTTTGTCTTGTTCTGCATTTACTTCAGTAATTTGATTTTGCGGCCAATCCAGCTTGCACATTTCCGTTAACTCTCTCAACTCCCTGATACTTTCCAAACGCTCTGACATTACTCTCTTTATCATTGTGCATAAGTCTTTAAGACTCTGTATTATACGAGTCTCAATCCTTTCTATCTCTTCTGTTTGCACCATTATATCTGTTTCAAGAGGAGGCATTTTCTCGATTACTTAGCGGTTCTTTCTTCTGAACTGTGGTATTACGACCTTAAAAATAAGAAACAGAACTTAATTCCCTGTGTCCCAAAGATTCCCATTAATAATTATCGACGGTTTTATTAAAATGTTTCATTTTTCTTTCTTACCTTTCCAGGAGCTCTTCCTAGCGACAGGGACCCAAATCGAAGATTAAAGGAGGACTTCCCAAGCACCGAACGAAATAACTGTCAAAAATGGTTTTCGTGACGTCATCTCTGCGCGCCTTACGACAGGGCGCGTAGCCTTGGGGCTCTGGTGCGCTGGCCAATCGCGCAGCCGCAAACTCCAGCCCTTGCAGCCGCAACCTTCACGCGCCCTTTCGTTCCTCCCCCGTCTCCCCGACCTATCAGAGCAGGGTCACGGTAGTGCGCACGCGCAGCATCACATTCAACTTTTCCCTTGTTCCAATGGCTCGGCTTAGATGTGGTGCCGCCTTGAAGGCGGGACTGGGTCCCAGCCGGGGCCAATGGCGCCCCGGGTGAGGGTTGAGGGGTGGAAGGTGCCGGCTAGCTGGCGGTGCAAGTTTCTTCCAGCTCGTGCGCTGGGCTACCTAGTCGACATGGAGGCTGACTTGACCGAAGAGCTTGATGAGGAGGAGCAGCTGGTGAGAAGGCATCGCAAAGAGAAGAAGGAGTTGCAAGGTGATGGGGAAGGAAGTGGGAATCTAGAAGCCGCCCAGACCCAGGGAAGGGCGCGTGGCAAAGTCTCTTCTGAGGAATCATAAGGGGCAATTTACCTGGATCCTCCTAGACTTTTCCAAAGTAGCAAATGGTCTGTTCTTTTCCATCTTCCCTGCACCAGCGGCCCCTTAATCCCCCAGCCTTCGGAGGTTTCTTCGTCTGAGGCCTGCCGCTTACTTCTATCCTACGCCGCAGCCCGGGTGCACATGTCAGAGAATACCTCAAAGTCTCGGATCTTGGACCCAGACTGCGCGCCTCCCAATCCCCTTACGCCTCCCTTTCCTATTCCTGCTCCAGTTACCGACATTGGGCCCTAATGAGTACATTTTAAATGGCCTCAATCTTAGTTTTGAGGGCCCAGAAGGGATGCTTGAAAGATTTAAAACTTGCTTCAGTTTTTTTCTTTTTCCTCCTCCTGTCCCATCAAACAAATTCAAGGTTATGTTACTGAGGGTTTTTAAAAAAAATTTAGGGAAGAGTGTCTCAGCTTCATCTGGGCTCTTCTCTGTAGGTGTCCGATTGTTACGTGATGACTCTTCTTGCTTCCATAATTACTTTTTCTATACCTTTCTCCCCTTACCATCTCCTTCTTGGTGCTTGTTTCTCATTTCCTTTTTCCTGGGTGTCTGACTTAATGATTTTGGTGACTTTTCAGCCAAAATTCAGGGTATGAAGAATGCTGTTCCCAAGAATGACAAAAAGAGGAGGAAGCAACTCACTGAAGATGTTGCTAAGTTGGAAAAAGAAATGGAGCAGAAACATAGAGAAGAACTGGAGCAATTGAAGCTGACTTCTAAGGAGAATAAGGTATATGAAATAATGTTTGCCTTTGCCCACAGCATTTGAAAACTACTTTCCACTTCTGTTGCACTGCTTATTATATATATAAAATCATAAAATTGGCAGGAAAATGAAGTCACTCAGTCATGCTCGTGCATCACCTCTCATTAATATTTTTGTGACCAGGTTTACATGGCAGTGTTTTTTTGTAAGGGAGATCAGGAAAGAAAGGACTACACTTCTTTACCTGTTTACTTGCTCAAAAGATGAAGCTTCACCAAATGAAAGCTGAAAGACCAGACTTCTAGTCCCAGAATTGCCACAGAATAAGATTGTAACCTGAGCAAAGTTTCTTAATCTTCCTGAGCATAAATTTCTCCACCTATAGTAAGATACAAATATCACTGCTGTCTAATCACAGGTTTTTGTAATCAAATGGGACAACACATGAGAAGTCATTTTTAAATTATAAAAGTGATTTATGAACAAGTTGTACTGAATGGAAACTTTACTGATGTTTCTTGGGTAAATTGGATCATCCTAACTTTCATCATTTTAACTAATATTTATTTTATCATTGTGGTTAATATATGTGTGCTAAGCACTTTGTTTAAAGTATTACGTATTATCTCATTTAATCCTCAGTAACATACTCTGAGATATTGCCTATGAAGTAAGTGTAGATAATCCCATTTTTAAGTGAGAAACAGACTTAGAATAAGAACTTTGTCCTGAAGTCCTGACACCTCTTTAGTGCCAACACTAGAATTCAAAATCAGAATTGTCAGCCAGGCGTGGTGGCTAACGCCTATAATCCTAGCATTTTGGGAGGCCAAGACATGTGGATTGTTTGCGTTCACAAGTTCGAGACCAGTCTGAGAAAGAGTGAGACCCCCCCATCTCTACTAAAAATATAGAAAGAAATTAGCTGGACAACTAAAAAAAAAAAAAAAATATATATATATATATATATATATATATCTCCGGGCATGGTGGTGCATGCCTGTATCCCAGCCACTGGGGAGGCTGAGGCAGGAGGATCACTTGAGCCCAGGAGTTTCAGGTTGCTGTGAGCTAGGCTGACTCCATGGCACTCAGCATGGGCAACAGAGTAAGACTCTGTCTCAAAAAAAAAAATCAGAATTGTCTTACCCTAGGATGTGAATCCTGGATTCTGTTATAACTTTGTATAGTGTGGTAGTTTATTATATGGGCTTTGGATATGAAGGATCATAGGCACCATAACTTCACTCCACTTTTAATAGTTAGAAAGTTCATTTGGTACATTTTTGATATGCTGTTGACAAGGGAAACAGCTCATCTATATTGCTTTATAATGTCCTTACATTAAATATAGTCTCAATTTTTCAAACTTTATTAGCCAGTCATCAAAGATTCTGGTCTTTTTTGCCCTTAATATACTTCATCTCCAGGTAACAAGGGATGATGCTCTACAATTGTGGTATTTTTTTTTTTTTTTTTTTTGAGACAGAGTCTTGCTTTGTTGCTTTGTTGCCCAGGCTAGAGTGAGTACCGTGGCAGCAGCCTAGCTCATAGCAACCTCAAACTCCTGGGCTCAGCGATCCTCCTGCCTAAGCCTCCCGAGTAGCTGGGACTACAGCCATTGCACCACCATGCCTGGCTAATTTTTTCTATATATATCTTAGTTGTCCAATTAATTTCTTTCTATTTATAGTAGAGATGGGGTTTTGCTCTTGCTCAGCCTGGTTTCGAACTCCTGACCTCAAGCAGTCTGCCTGCGTCAGCCTCCCAGAGTGCTAGGATTACAGGCGTGAGCCACAATTGTGGTATTCTTAACTGTCTCTGTATCTTTTCTATTAGTGAGATAGTTTTTACTCTCTCAGGCCTTTCAATTTTGAGATTTCTTTGCTAGGTTTCCAAGGACAAAAGTGTTTGATTTTTAAGCTACATAGTGTCCAAATGTTAAAATACAGACTCCTATCTTATTTGAGCTGTTGTCTTTTTCATTAGTTTAAACTTGTTTTCTTTTCTGAACACCACTTAAATTTTTATATCATTGCTCTTTTGTTTGTTTTTCAGATGCATTTCTATATGTTGCCTGTTGTCAGTATAGCAATTAGTAAAATTTAGCAGATTCTTTCAAAAAATTCTAAGATTCCTAATTTCACTGAAGTTGATTAATCCCCCTTTTAAGTCTAGCTGATTAAGATATTTTGATCATTGGGAACATAGCCTTTGGAGACTTCTGTCTCTGTATTAAAGGCCCTCAGTTGTTTTATGTATGTATTATACTGAAAACTGGGCTAACTTACAGTAATAAAATAGTAGCTACTCATCCTAATAGCTGTAAGTGTAGCATCTTTGTTCTTTAGGATTGGTTGTAATATTTGATATTTTAAATTAAATATATTTTGTCTGCAGTTATTTTGTAAATGGGAAAGGATAGGAAAATTTCACGTTGTTACTAGGGTCAAGAATCAGTGCTCATCAAGTTCTGGCTAATAAAGGTGGAGAAGGCCCTTGCAGCACAATTGAGGTTATGGAGGTAGTAATGAACTGAGCCATGAGCCAGCACAGGACCTGCGTCTTATATGTACTATCAGCATTCAGAGAAAGGAACAGTGGAGTGCTGAATGAATTGGCACTTATAGCAAATATAGTACTACATTTACATTAATGGAGTAGGCATTCTAAGAAGGAAGGAAAGCATGCAGGCATGAACATTATCTTTGAAGAGCTATAAGGAAGCTTCTTAGGAATCTGACAAATTCTCCCATAAAAAATAGAGAAAGAAGACGAAACCTTATTATCTAATATGGTGTCTAGTGCTGTTATCAAATTTGAAATGTGGGATTGGCCATATTTGTGATTTTCAACAATAATTTAATGACCTAATGCTTTCAGTAATAATTTAAAAGTGTTTTCCATTGACTTAATGCTTTTTGTTTCCTTCAGATAGATTGTGTTGCTGTTAACATTTCAAACTTGGTTCTTGAGAATCAGCCACCTCGGATATCAAAAGCACAAAAGAGACGGGTATGAAAGTCATGTCACCAAGTATATAAGTTAGTGCTTGTGTGCTCAATACTATTGTAGGTGTTGTATAGGAAAGAAATGAAAAAAGAAAAAGGTGGATTTCCTTGTCAAGAGACCTGAACTAACAACATTTATTAAGCACTTGCTATGTACCAGATACTATGCTGAGCTGCTTATATGAAATCTGATTTAGTATTGACAACAATGCTGTGAAGTAGGATTTCTTACCCCATTTTATAGAGAGGAAAATGGCATAAGATAATATAGAAAGACATGTTCAGTTTAAACTTCTCGTAGGAGGGTAGGTCTGGGAAGCAGGTTTGCAAAGGATTTTTATTTTTAAACAAATAGATGATCCCAGACTTAGAATCTTCAGAATGTGGGCCCAGATGATTCTGATACACAACCTTGGCTAAAAACTGTGGTATTGAATGAGAAACAAGAATTTGAACCTAGAAGTTAAGATATATAATATACAAAACTCTCAGATAATTATGTAGGTGGCTATATAGTAGTTAATTATGATGAATATGTAAAGAAGATAAAGTTCATTATGCTAAGTGTTAAAATAATGAGTTGGAATTTGAGGGAAATATAATTATTTAGGTGGGATAGTCCAAATAGGAGAAGTATCGTACACAAAAACAAATGTGAGAATGAAATAGTACGTTATCAAAGAGCTGTAAAGAAACTGATTTATTGGGAGTTGCGAGTTCATGATATCAACATAGGAATGAGATTAGTTAGGTAAGGCCATTTGACTTTGAAAAAGAAAAAGAGGATTAAATCCAATCGTTTCAGTCCCCAAATTATTTTACTGACACTTGATGTGTTCTGGGATTTAAACGCATATTTTTAAATTAGCTTTCCATCTTATGATTTAGTAGTGCATAATTTAGTAGAGTATGGAGTTTAGTGTCAGACAGATGAGCTTTAAGTTTCATTTACTGTTATACTTTATATAAGATTTCTTAACTTCTTTAAGTCTCATTTTCACATCTATTAAATGGATGCAAGTAATACCTACTTCATAGAGTTATTGTGAATATTACATAATATACTCTTTCCAAATCTCTTAACATAAGGCCTGGAGAACTAATGGGTCAACAAATGATAGTATTGTTTACTGTGTTAAGTACTGCATAGTATGCTTCTTAAAAAGTTAAACTTTGAGGAATGTCTTTTTTGTTTGAAAGTGGATTAAGTTGCAAATAGTCAAACATTTTTCATACTAGTATAAAATTTTATTTTGAGTAAATATAATTATGAATTTCATAGAATATAGAATCATGAGATTTAGATCTCCTGGTATCTTGGAGGGTATCTGTTTCTGGTATGCATTCTTTTTATGATGATCCCACAATTGTTATCTAGCTTGTGCCAGTACCATAACAAAATATTTATTGGGATCACCTCTATTTAGTAATTGAAACATCTTATAATAGCCTGTTTAATTCTGGAAAACATAAGGACACAACTCCCTCATGTCTTTATCAAAACTTGTTCATCCCCACCTGGACCCTTAGGCAACAAAACAAATAAAAAGAAAACTCCCTACTTGTCTCAAAAATTTTGTTACTTTTTTCCCTCAAATACTGCACAGCTGATATTAATAATCTTTTCAGTTATACCCTCAAAACAATCTAGTGTCTTTTATAGTCAGCCAGTTTGACACTGGGAGAGAAGATGCCCTAGAAGTAATGCCCGGTTTCTTATTACTTGGTTATGTTAATGGGATTCTGGAACAGAAAACACTAAAAGTTTATAATGCTTAAGAAAATGGAACCTGAAATCAGTGATGAATAATTGAGTATCGGATTATTTGGAACTTCTCTTTTTGCTAAAGGCACCAAGGAATGAAAAGCCAATTAACTAATAGTGTTTATTTTTTGGAAAGATACATGAAAAACATGATAAAAGTTTATGAAGATTTATTGTAAGACTGTCATGGAATATTGTAGAGTGGATCTCTTACTAGAAAAACATAGGGTATTTTATTTAATGCAAAGAACTGAGAAGCTTTTTGGTATGATAGAGAGAGTCCAAAGTAGGCTGAGCGCCTGTAATTCCAGCACTTTGAGAGGCCAAGGCTGGGGAATGGCTTGGGCCAGGAGTTGGAGACCAGCCTCTACAAAAAATTAAAAAAATACTAGCCAAGCATGTTTCTGGTCACAGCTACTAGGGAGGCTGAGGCACCAGGATCACTTGAGCCCAGGAGTTTGAGGTTGCTGTGAGCTGTGATCATGCCACTGTACTCTAGCCATGACGATAGAGAAAGACCTGTCTCAAAAAGAGAGAAAAAAAAAGAGTCCAAAGTAGAACTCAGAAGACCTGGGTACTAAAAATATGAAATTTGAGAGCTTGTTTTCCAAACAAGAAAGCTGAGATGCAGGTTATCTCAATGGCATACTGAAAGTTGGATACAAACCCAGGTCTAGTGCCCAGCTCTTAAGATTCTTTTTGAGTTGTTTTTGCTGTATTAATATTTCAACATATATCTAGTTTTACCAACAATATATTTATGATTTACATGCTATTTTTATCTTATGTATGTTTTCATTAGACCTTATTGATGCTATTCAATCTCTAGTACTATGATTGTAGAAACTAATTTGCCTAGTACTATTGGGAAACTATACATTGCTGGGAAAAGAATCCAATGGATTTCTTATCTAGTGCCCTGGGAAGGAAAGTCAGTTTTTTTGTAATACTGAAGCAAAGCATGAGGAATAAAACCAAAATGATTAGAATTAGTATTTTAGAGTCTTAAACAGTTTTGAAGATAGTATAAAGTTCCACTCTTCCAGTAAATAGTACATGACATCATTAATTCTAGCTCCCATCTGCTCCAACTTTTATTCTGATTCAGGTGCCTGGATAGAGGAGTTCTCTGTGTTGTCCTTGGTCCCCGCTCTGCTCTAACCAGCTGTATGGCCTTTGGAAATCTTTCTGCGTGCTGTTTCCTCAGAAGAGGAAAATGAGGGGTTTTGAATTAGATGATATCTAAGGTGCTTATTCTTCCTCTCCCCTCTGAAACTTTTTTAGTGTTTTATAAAGTAATAGTGCCACCTTGTGTTTTAAGATTTTATGCCTCTGTGATTCACAGTTGTAGGTATGGAGTAATATAAATTGGTTCATATTACTTCTGTTATGGTTTCAGTGGGGAGGAAAACTCTTAAATAGGCTTATGTTTTATTAGGAAGATAATACTGCTTTTGATTCAGGTAACTTGGAAATCACTTCAGGTTCATCTAGCATGGCACATAACAAGCAGTTAGTACGAGTATATATGGTGGTTAAGTTTAATTGAAATTTGCCTTCCCATTCATTTCTTTTGCCCTAAGGAGTTACAGCTTAGGAGTATGAAAGTCTTTGCCTTTCTATACTCTTGGTCTACCGAATCCTTTACTGTAATATACTATTAACATCAAGATTTGTAGAATTTAGTTTAACTGTTTTTATCCATTTAAATTAGAAAGCAGTTTCCTCCCTGAGTGTACAAATAAAACATACAGTAGAGAATTAGAAAGATGCAGAAAAGCACACAGACACACACCAAAATACAAGTTATTTTGGAATTCTGTCATCTAGAGAAAAGCACTAGAAATATTTTTTGTATATCTTTCAATTTTTTTTTTTTTTTTTGAGACAGAGTCTTGCTTTCTTGCCTAGGCTAGAGTGAGTGCCGTGGCGTCAGCCTAGCTCACAGCAACCTCAAACTCCTGGGCTGAAGCGATCCTCCTGCCCTCAGCCTCCCGAGTAGCTGGGACTATAGGCATGAGCCACCATGCCCGGCTGATTTTTATATTATATATATTAGTTGACCAATTAATTTCTATTTTTATGGTAGAGACGGGGTCTCGCTCAGGCTGGTTTTGAACTCCTGACCTCGAGCAATCCGCCTGCCTCGGCCTCCCAGAGTGCTAGGATTACAGGCGTGAGCCACCGCGCCCGGCTTTTCTAGTTTTTTTTTTAACAGTATGTAAGCACAGACTTAATATATATTAACTATATACCTTTCTTTGTTGTTCCCAACCTCATCTCTTGAGGTTTTTCTCTGGTACTATAGCTCTGTGAACTGTTTCTAGCTGTGAAACATATAGTGTTTTCTGGCTTGTGATCCTTACTAGTCCAGCTATCAGGATTTTTTTTCTCTTCCCTAACTTTCCCATCCCACCTCCTATCTATTCTTCATGTCACAAATTTCCCATTGACCTCAGCTCACCCCATCCTTGCATATGCTGCCATGCGTGCATAAGAGGGAGAATCTCTTAAGACATTTGAATAATGAAAGCACATTGCAGAATGTAAGACACGATACCACTTTTGTTAAAAAACATTTCTATATGTTTTCTATGAATATACCATGTTAATTAAAATGTATAGAAAAACAATCTAGAAGGATACACACCAAACCTCTGCATCAAGCACTGGGATGGCAGTGTTTTTTAGGGGGAGTTTTAGTCTATCTGTAATATTTTAATTTTTTTTAAAGAAGAATGTTTTTATCTATTTGTTAAATGTGTGTGTGTGTGTGTATACTTTTTTAAAAAAAGCTAGATAAAAGACTGTCTGCCTGTACCCTACTAAACACTTTGGCAGATTAACACCTCACTGGTGGAGTGGTAAGTTAAGAAGCTTAGATTAGCATGGACTTAAATACAATAATAATGTGCTTTAAGGTTTAGGACAACTCAGTCTTAAATATTTTGAAATCAGTAAAGTTTTTAGAAACTTGGCATATACTTTTATAAATGATGAAATGATCAATGTGGTAGTGCATTTGGGAGAAGGGAGAAAAATGGCAAAAAGTTTTGAGACTCTTTTATCTCTATCCCCTTAATAAATGAGAATTAGCCTAATTATTACTAATTAATTCTCCTATGTTCTCTTCTTTTTAGGAAAAAAAAGCTGCATTGGAGAAGGAACGAGAAGAAAGGATAGCTGAAGCTGAAATCGAGAACTTATCTGGAGCCAGACATGTAGAAAGTGAAAAACTTGCTCAAATATTGGCAGTTAGACAGTTGGAAATTAAACAGATTCCATCTGATGGCCACTGTATGTATAGAGCCATTGAAGATCAACTGAAAGAACAGGATGGCACTCTTACTGTGGTTGCCTTAAGATGTCAAACTGCTAAGTATATGCAAAGCCATGTAGAAGACTTTCTGCCATTTTTAACAAATCCCAATACTGGAGATATGTATACTCCAGGTAATATATTTTTCTCTACTATGTTTTGTTGTTGCTATTGGTGGTTGTAGTTTTTAAATAAAGTGCTTCCTGGACTGAGCATAAAATGAATCCATACAGACCCTAATGAGGAAAAAACACCACAAAATTTAGGCAGAATTATTTTCTATAATTTTAATAATCCTGGTACATTTTGCTTTATTAAAATCTTTTCAGTACTTAATCATTTTGTAGTTAAAATATATTGTTTTATATGAGATAAAAGTAGGAACAGGATTAATGAAAAAAATATGTTAAATTCATATTTAACAAAGTTAAGAATAGAGGAAGGTAAGCTTTGACAAGACTCTAGAAATATATATACGTCCTGAAGACCATAAGCAGAGAATGTTTAGGAAAACTAATTTCTCCTTTTATCCTATACTTTGGGGGAGATTAAATTTTATTCTCAATCAGCTGTAATTAGGAAGATCAATATTCAAGTAAAATTTGACTTTGCAAAACCAGAAACGAGTTAATAACCTCCTTTCTTCTGTATACTTTTAATAATTACCATTAACAGATTTATGGGAAGGTAAAAATACACAACTAGCAAATGAAGAAGAGAGGAAGTAAAAATAGGAGAGAGTTTCAGGGGAGTAAAGAATGGAATAGAGGAAAGTTAGTACCTGAGAGAAGAAGGCAGGTTTGGCAGTATCCACTGGGAGCAAGTCTTGTGGCCAGGATGAGTTGAAGGTTGAAGAGGGGAAGGTTAAGGTTGATTTTCCTTTAATGGAGTCTGTCCTCCTTGGAAGGAGGTAGAGCAAAGTCAGCGTACAAACTGCCACCTCCTCTCAAATGCCCCTACAGCTAACTGAGCTGGGGAGTTTCAATGATTTAATAATCATTTTGGAGATAATTATAGCAGAGCCATATATGATGTTACCTCTGCATATATCAAGATAAATGGAAAAATGTGTTTTTGTGTGCCATAGCAAATTCTGGTAATTTAGAAAATAGCAATGGCCTAAAACAAGAGATATGTTAACATTTCCAATATGACAGCTATGAGAAATTAATTGGCTACAGAATTAGATATACCTATAGTCATTCTGGAGATCTATCAACACTTTGTACGCTGAGTCAGAGAAAAAGACAAAAGAGTTAATTATCTTCATTTATTCAACCAGTAGTTATTGAAGACCACTGTGTGCCAGGCACTATTCTAGACTTGTTCTGAACACTGAGGATTTAACAGTAAATGAGACAAAACATGGGACCTATTTTTCTTCTAGAAATCCATAATTCCCTCCCACCCCCACTCTCTGAACAGGAAGGATGTTTGTTTCCCGTTTTAACATGCTGTATATTAAGGTGTATGCACAAGATATGCCCCTTGTAAATTCAGTGATTAAGTATTTTAATCCTTCTCTTAGGGCTGATCTGAAAAGCCTTTTCCTTGGATAGAACTGATATTTATGCAAATAATTAGGTGCTTCCAAAATAACAAGTGGAGGCACTATTTGAAGGCACTATTTCCTTCCTCTGGCGAAGGAATTTCAACTCATTTGTACTTCTACCCTGATTCTCTTCATACATCTCTGATAGGGTCTTACAGTGAAACTGATTGGACAGGGGCTACATTTTTTAGTCCTTCATGCTATTCTTTGGGATATAGGTTTGGGCTTCAAAATACATGCCAGAATAATTAAAATGGTGGTAATTTGGGGATCATTGCTTCAGGTAATGAGAAGGAAGTAGGTTTGTTACATAGATAAAGTCCCTGGGCCTAAGGCTGAGGGAGAGAAGCAGAAATGAATTGCTTTGCTCTTGGATGGAAAGATGGTGATAATTTGGGATGAATTAAGTTTGAATCTGGGGGATAGATTAAATTCTGGAAGGTACTTGTAGTGAGGGAGCATGTTCATAACTTGGGCATTTTCATCAAGGATTGTGGAAGCTATAAAAGGGATCTTTTAACATGAGTATGAAGATTATTAAGTACTATATTCTGATCTATTCTCTACAGAAGAGTTTGGAAAATACTGTGATGATATTGTAAACACAGCCGCATGGGGAGGCCAGCTTGAGGTAAGTTTGTAATTATTCACAGTGATTGTGGGTTGTTAATTCCTTCTGTAGTTTGCAAACATTTTTCAGCTGATCTCAATTTCGCATTGAGGATTCCTTTTCTTTATATATTTGCTGTTTGTCCATTGACAAAGAAATAGGGAGTTAACATTGGTAGGCCTTTGTTTAAAGTATGTACCTTAAGGAAGCAAAGCTCTGTTTCATTTGAAATAGCTAGCTTAGTGCTAGATCTGTGTGTTGAAGAAGGTGGTGTTAGATCTGTGTAAGTCTTTTCACTTGTGATGCTGCCACTGGCAATATATTTGGTTTTCTGGACTTATGAAAGTGAAAATTTTACTGAAAAGTAAAGTAAAATTAGCCCTATTGTTTTAGCTGATAAAAGGTACTAATGGAAAAGTAATATCTTTACATCAAAAATAGAAAAAATGTGAAATTACAAGTCAGATCCTACCACAACACATCTATTAAAGTGTGTTTTGAATTCCTAGTTGATAGTGACAGGACTTACTTGAAAGCAGTGGTTGATGCATTAAAATTCATATTTAAGAAAACATTTTGTTAGGTTATTTGTAGGGAGTTATCAAGATTTTCATAGGTCTGATTTTTTTAATCGTACCATTAACTTTGTTTCTTTAAAACAAAATAAACAAAACACTTAAGTGAGCCAAGTGGGAATGAAGCAGCCCAGGTATTAGGATAAAAAGGCAAATCCTAGGTTAGGGTCCTGGCATTTCTTCCACTTCTTTGTTTTGGGGAAGTCGGCCAATCTCCAGAGCTTGAGTTTCTTCATTAGGGAATAGGGATAATAATTAATAAAACCCCTGTACTGAACATTTGTGAACATTAAATAAGGCAGGGAGTATGTGCATAAGTGTTTTTAAGGGCTAAGTGGATGAATCTAGCAGTATTATTAATAGTACTGTATAATAATGATTATATGACTAAACATCTTGAATAGTCGGTGGCTCTAAATAATTCACTTCAAGAACTGTGTTGCTTGAAGATGTGACATCAGTGTTCTCCAAAATCTTTTTTTTTAGCAGTGCTGTATTTGTACCTCTCCACCAGAGGGAACTGTATCCATTAGTTTTCTATGCCTCTCCTGGGTCTCTAAAACTCAGGAAGTTTTTATACTAGCTTTGTGACTATATTAGGAATAATTAAAGATGCTTGAACTTTCTTATAAGGATCACAAATTCATAGAAGTATTAGAAACCTAATCAACTTTATTTAAGAAAAGCCTTTTAAAACATCCTTTGAAGAGCATTTACTCATAAATTGTGAATTCATTTGAAATAAAGTTGCTCTTTTACTGTGGGGTCAATTTTAATTATTATAAGAAAAATGTGCTTCATGGGAACATTTTACTTATAGAGTATGGGAAGTTGCCACCATGCGACATAGAACCCTTGCCATATTTGTGAAGTAATTTCTTACGTTCTTTTAAGACCCCAAAAAGGACTATATTCTTGATGGGGTATTCTTGTAAATACGTAGATCAGGGCACTGTGACTGAAGACTGTTAATGATTAATTTGTTTATGAACTTGGGATCTAGAATCAGACTTTCTCAGTTAAGTGCAGGTCATTTAATTTCCTAATGCTTGACTTTGACAAGTCTCTTAACCTTTCTCTGCCTCAGATTCTAGGTCTTTAAAATAACTCCTGTCCCATAATACCTATCCCTTCATAATATTATTGTTAGGATTGAATGAATTAATATACGTAAAGTGCTTAGAGTGTTTCGCCATAGTAAGTCTAAAAAATGTTAGCATTAATATTCATTATTAACTATTATTCATCTCACTTTAGGCTCTAATTTTATATTATATGATATAACACTACTTAAAATTGCATATGTTAATCATATGGAAATTCCTTGAGAAGGCAGTACAGTTCATATACATATTCATTTTATTAAGGCCTCAAAAATTATAGAACAGTGGTTCTCAACACTGGTTGTCCATTAGAATCTTTTGAAACTCTTTTAAAAAAGTAAACCTCCTTTTCTGCCCTGCTCTCTTCCCTCCCACATTGTAATTGATTTGATCTAGTGCTTGGACAGTGGTTATCTTAAAAATCTTCTTATTGTGGAATTTTTCAAGCATGTTAAAAAGTAGAGATAAGTATAATAAACCCAATCCACTTCATTACATATGGCACTAATATTTTTACAAAGCTGTTGAGAAACCTCTGCATTTGATTTAATAAGTTGAACATCCCTAATCCCAAAATTTGAAATTCAAAACTGTCTAAAATCCAAACCTTTTTGAGTCCCAATATTGTGCCACAAGTGAAAAATTTCACACCTGACCTCATGTGACAGGTTGTAGTAAAAACGCAGTCAAAACTTTGTTTCTTGTACAAAATTATTAAAAATATTATATAAAATTAATTTCAGGCTATGTGTATAAGGTGTATTTAAAACATAAATGAATCTCGTGTTTAGACTTGGGTCCCATCCCTAAGATATCTCATGTAGTATACGCAAATATTTCAAAATCTGAAAAAATCCAAAATCTGAAACACTTCTGGTCCCAAGCATTTTGGATAAGTGATAACACAACCTGTATTCTATTTATTTGTTTATTCAACAAGTATTTATTAAGTGCCCACTATGTGACAGGCTCTCTGTGTAGTTGATCAGAGCACATCCCTGCTCTGACTGGTTGCCTTGTTTGTGTGTACTGCAGTAGTTTATAAGTTGAATGCCATTTACATTTTTATTTTCTGTACTAATACATTGTTTTTCCCTATAGTTAAGAGCTCTGTCTCACATTTTACAAACACCAATAGAGATAATACAGGCAGATTCTCCTCCTATTATAGTTGGTGAAGAATATCCAAAAAAACCATTAATACTTGTGTAAGTACCTAGAAATTTTTACTGTTTTATTTTTCATAATTAGAACAAAAAGGAGTATAAAAGATTTTAGGTTGTATATGTTGATTAATCAAAATAACTATCTTCAGCTGAGTTAATTTTTATGTTAAAGGCAGTTATAGAACTAGATAGCATTGTCAAAATATGTGATTTATATAATTTTGTAAGCCCTAGTGATTTATTATTGTGTATGAGTTAAGAATAAAGTCATTTCTAAAGGTTACAAAATTTTAAGACTGTTTTGTGTATTGTCCTGGTTTGACATCTAATCATGCTGAAAGTTTCAACAAGTGTTAAAGCTGAGATATATTCATGTTGCTTGTTTATTCCTTAGAGATTTTTTCATCACATCCTGAAAATACGTGATTGAGAAATCTCTTCTGAAACATAGCATAGAGGGTTCGCTGTTGGCTCTAGGGTTTATTAACTAAACCACTAAGGTAGTCAGCCATTAATGGCTACAATTTCGGTGAAAATTTAAGATTAGTAGGCACTCAGCATCTCAGCCTTTCCATTTTCCCTTAAGTGATTGAACCTGGTTTTGCTGGCTGCTGATACTTTTCAGATAATGTTGAGCTCTTCATTAATACATCCATATAGTCTGTTGAATGATACCGCTGTGACCTGAGTCATTCAGAGTGTTTGGTTTATATACATACTATGCATTGATATACAATAAATTACTTCATCAAAACTACTCATTTCTTCTTTTTTCATTTCAGATATATGAGACATGCATATGGCTTAGGAGAACATTATAATTCTGTTACACCGTTGGTAAACACAGCTACTGAAAATTGCAGCTAGTTTACAAAATGTTACACAATTATGTTTTAGCTTATAGTGTGCCGATCTAAGTATTCCTACCAAATGCTGAATTGTTCTGAATGCTACTGAAAAACACAACTACCTTAAATCAATTTTATGGCAAAGCTACTTACTAATAGCCTTTTTAGAACTATATCAAAGATGAACTTTAACCAGTGTCCTTTAAGTGGAATTTTAAAAACTTGTAAGCCCATTGTGGAAAACATCATTCATAGACCAAGATGGTACCCTATTTGCTGATACTTTCTATTTATGTTGGATCTTGGATATTCTGTTCTGTGTTGGAATATTTAAATATTTTTAATTCTTCCCCCTTGTTACTAAAAGCTTTCAAAATAACCATTTCGATGTAATTATTCTTGAAGAAGTGGAATGACTCAGTCTTTTTGTCATTGCAATAATGTATTGTGTTAAATTTAATTAATGCTTATAAAATGAACTTGATTGCAGTAACCTTGGTATTGATGGGATTAATGCAGTGAAGCTTTTTATATAACACTCATCGAAGTGCAGCTGAAAAACTTGCTTTAATAATTAAGAATTTTTAAATATTTATTCAGATAGGAATCAGTTGTTAAGTTTAAAGAAATGAGACAAATTCAAAGGTAAATAGGTGTTCTCTATCAGATTTAAAACTCTAAAGAATTAGGGATTAGTCTTTTATTTGGGTGTAAAAAAGGCCTAATAGATTCCTGTCTTTCTAATTTATTTGTTATACTTTGGTGTTTCTTAAACTTCATACTGGAGTTAGTACCATCATCTCTTGATTTCTTTCATAACTCCACGTTTTTATATTTTCTGCTGTGTTCTTTCCATTACCACTCAGCTGCTTTGCTTTCCTTATGCCTTTTTCACTAAGAAACGTTTTGTGGCTTCTTTTATTCTTTAGCTTGTACAAGTTGAGGGAGTGGCAGTGTAAAATGTCCAAGGCCACATTTACTTAAAATGTTTCTTCTTTTGTGATTCGCCTTACATCTCAGATGTCTTCATTCTTTAAGATTGTTATTCTTTTTTTTTGCTTCATTATCCAAGATTAGAAGAAAACCTTTGTTACTTGTTATTTTATTAGCCTGATTAATGTTACTTTTCTTTCAATTCAAATATTTGAGAATTTTTATGTTGCACGTATGGATAAAGTTGAAAGCCACTGTTTGAGAGCTAAGACCTGCATAGTAAAATCAGTACACAGTATTTTTCTGTGTGAATGATTTATTCAGCTCAGACTTCAGGTTACTCGTAACAGTATTCTTTCTAAGAAGATTGTACCTATATGTACAAATGTGTTTGATAATTTGTTATGTAAGGAAGTATTATGAAAATGAGACTTTTGGTTTGATCTATTTTTCCCAAATTAGTTATATAACTAGTAAGATTTAGCATCGAGTTTATAACATTTGAATTTTTGCTTCATAAATACAACTAATTTTTATAAGTAAATATTTATAATATTAAAAATGGGTGTCAGTCTCACATGCCCAGCAGGTGACAATGTGGGGCACTGGTAGGGACTGTGGCCAATGAGAGCAGGAAGAATTTTCTACTTCCTGAAGACATTCCACTCATGAGATTAAAAACCATTCTCCCTGCCAAACAAAATATATTTGAAAGGCAGCTTGCTTTATAACCCTTGATCTGAATTTTTGGGGATCTGAAATTAATAAAAGAATGAAATTATAAAATACTAAACACTTTGGGTTTATTTTGAAGTAATCTGTTACTTTAAAATGTCAGCATTAAAAAGTAATAAAGCAAGATATCATTGAACCTAGTATTATAAATTATATTTACATCTAAAGTATTCTAAAATAAAATAACTTATTGGTAACTTTTTTTCTGACAAGAGTTAGAATTTTCTTTATTATATGTTTAATTTTCATTTCATTTTTATATTTTTAAATTTTTAAGTGGCCAATGTGTTTATGAACAAGTTTTGTATGGTCAGTTTCTTGACCATAACAAGTTTTGTTATGGTCAGTTTTTGTATACAAGAAAACTTGTATACAAGTTTTCTGTATGGTCTATTCCTTTATAAAACTTCAGATAAATATCATTTTATCCATAAGCTAAAAAAGTCTTTAAAAAAATGGCAGATGTTAATTTAAAAGCAACATATACATAATTTCGTTTGCTGTATGATGATGTTCTAATGGAAGTTACATAAGCTTTCTTTTGTCCTAACTTGGAAAAGTATATGTCAGAATTCTGGAATGTGTCTTTAGCCAACAATTTTATCCACTTAAATATGTTTACAAATTGTATAAAGCAAAAAAGAATGTGTGTAACTATAGTGAGCAATATAGTTTTGCTCATATTATCTGATGGTTGCCAAAAAAAGAATAAAAGATGAATGAATTAAATCAACATTTGTTTGTTCAAATTTTCATTCTTTAACAGTTTTAGAAATAGAGAAAACTCATTTTGCTTTAGAATTTTATCCAGCCTTTATTTTGTCTTCATACATAATCAAGAATAATACAATCCTAGATTTTTGCATTGAAGGGATTTGGGTAAATATATGAGCACAGCCTTATGCCCCAGAGTAGAGGGAGGTAATAAAGTAGTAGTCATTTAAGCCATGGCTCTTAGAAATCAGTTAGAAGATCAGAACCATTTAGAATAATGAAGGTTTATTTAGAGTAAATGAATTATTGGGTATTATTAAAAGAGTAATGAATTAATGGGTATTATTAAAAGAGTAAATGAATTAATGGGTATTATTAAAAGAATAAACATTTATTTGCAAGAATGTGGGACAGTAAGAAAAACGTTTGTGCAAATTAACATTTTCACACGATTGTTAACATAGCATCTTCTTGTCATGACCTAGCTGAAGTAGCGAATCAGCCAATTTTCTGAGAATATATGTAGTGATTTCATACTGTTTTTACATTTATTGAATACATGAGAGTTTTTTTCCCTGTCTCCTATGTTTTCACATACATGATTCTTCTCTCCTAACTTAAATCATTCTAATACCTAGTTTAGAATTCATGGGGTTTCTAATTCTTTTTTTAACGCAAGTTTTAGGAAGCATCCTTTACCCACATTGTTCTCCTACTCAAGGGCCTTTGAACTACCTCTCAGAGTTGAATGCTTTACCCAACCTGCTTTACCTAGCTTATTTGTCCCCCTGCTCTCAGCTTAAATATCATCTACCTCACAAGTCTCCCTGACTCCTCCCACCTGGGCTAGGTTAGGTCTAGTTAATGCACATTTCTTTCTAGTACCTGCACACTTGTAATTATTTACTTGTATTTAGTTGTTTTTCAATCTGTTTTTTCCCTAGTCTGTTACGTGCTTAGAAACAAAAACTTCTTGTTGACTACTGTTAAAATATCTGGCACATTGCCTGGCTTATCTATATATTAGGTGCCTAATAACTGTTAATAGTGTTAGCATATCAATTAAGAAGATAGGATATGACTGAGGAGTAGCCACTGTTAGGCTAATAGACCTGGGAATAGAGAGACGGAAATGATTTAGAATTGTGCTTACTCACAAAAGGCCTGCTTCCTCATTTACCCTGCCCCTGGATGAATTCAAGTCTTTTGGTCAGTTGAAGTGAGGAAGGGAACCCAAGAGAGCTTTCTTTTTTCTTACCTTCTAATAACATGTTACAGTTCATTTATCATCATGTACCAATTAGGACAATGTCTGATTTTAGTTAATCTGCATAAAATATAAGGATCCTATAAAATAAGTGTATAGGTCAAAGAAATATTAAAAGCTCTGTTAATGTATTGAACATGAAGAAGTTTATAGCTGTCTTATTTCAGTATAATCAGTATGACAAACAAGTATGCCTTACTGAAACAAATCATTGCCTTTCTATAAGGTTGTTGAGTTTTCAATTCTCCGACTAGAGCTGATTTGTGTTCTATCACCTGCTTATTCTCTGTATCACCCTTGTATTGACAGAAGGAAAGACATTGGCTGTTTATAATTTTAGCCCTTACAGCATCAATGTGGGGATTAATAAGAACTCTGACTCATGAGTTTGATGAGCAAAAATAATGACCTCACTTTAAAAAGTAAATTGTTATTTTTGAATCAGGCATTTTCCTTGTACTCCCACACTGAGATTGGAAAGGCTTTATACACCTAGATCAGAGTTGTTCAGCAGTGGCACTGTTAGATTTTGAGTTGACAATTCCTCGTTGTGGGGCCTTTTCTATGCTTTGTAAGTTTAGCAGCACCCTTCCCTCACTAAGTGCCAGTAGTACCCATTTGAGAGTTGTGAGAACAAAAGTCTCCATGGAGATAAAATCGCCCCTAGTTGAGAACCACTTACTAAATCATAAGTTTTATTGCTAAAGAATCTGGAAAGTTGTAAGGAATATATTTTAGGTCAAAACTTGGGCATATTAGGCAGCTCTTCATCTGCTTTTCATAATTTTGGCATCTGCCTAATACCAGACTTTACATGAATCTGTTTTGAAAGGCTGAGTGGACCTTAACTTTTTTTTTTTCTTTTCTTTTTATACCCTGACCCACTGAAATGTGTTTCATTGACTTTTGAGATCACTGGGGGTAGCATTCACAATAAGCCTAGGGTATGCTGTGGCAACAACTCGAAAATTTTGATATTTTATTAGCAAAGGAGTGTTTTCTTTTATGTGCCACATTTTGCAAATTGGCTGCGGGATCTGCTCTACATTTTTACACTCTAGGACCCAAGCGATTTGAGTTGTCACCATCTCAAACTGTTAGAAGAGAGCATTCTGAAGGGTCTCACTTCAGCAAATAAGTTCTGTGGCTTAGATGAAACACATCTTATTTCTGTTCATTGGCTGGAATTAGTCACATGGCCTCACCCAAATAAGAGAATGTACAGAAGCGCAGCATCCTGAAGGCAGGGGGCTGGAGCATTTGATGAACATTACTAAGCATTTTCACATGCACTGAAAATAGTGGCATTTGGGATGAAGACTATTTAAATCTTGACCCTGGCATGCACTAACCTTTCAGAACTCCAGTTTGTTTGTTATAAAATAGGAATACTAGTATTTCCCTAAAAGGAGAACTATAAAGATAAATAGGAAAGTTTAGATAGTATAGCTAGCATTTTAGCATATTCTCTGTATAGTATTTATGAGAATAATGGTTATTATTATTATTTTTTTTGTCTATGTCACCTAGAAAGGAGGCAAAAGCATGATAGGGAGGGTATTAATCTCTTCTGCACAAGTGGGACTGTCAAGGTGGTTCATAAAGAACAGCTTTGGGATGCTGGAATAAGGGGAGGTTTCACTGCTGCCCTTGGTATTCAGCATGTAGGAATTTTCATTAGCTTGTAGGACATTATGAGACCAAGGAAGTATCTGCTATAAGAAGGTTACAAATCTTCATAGTATTTGTTTTGCTTCCTATCAAGTATCTCAAAGTTTGACATTTATATTCTGTTTAGAATTTAACTGTCAAGATTCTCGATCGACATAGAGGTTGTCAGATTTGGTTTTGATATTCTTAAGTGAGTTGTTAAACTCTTGATATTGTGAGTGAATTAATGTGACTTAAGATAACACCTTTCCTAAACCCCACAAAGAATTTTCAAATGCTTTTAAGAAATATTTTGTGTATGCTGTAATCTGTTAACAAAGCTTGTTTTAATTGCTGAAAATGATACCATTTGCACATGGAGCTATTTATTTAACCTTGTGGTTTTAAACATATATATATGTACATAAAATTTATTTATTTTTACTCACAACAATCTGGATTTAGCCTCTGCTACACCACTGAAATTGTTTCTAAAAGCATTACTAACTTGTCCTTACCTTACTGGAAGTCTCTGCTGCATTCAACACTGTAGAGTGTTCCTTCCTTGAAGTTCTCTCTTCCCATAATACTACTGTTGGCTGCTTCTTCCTCCTTAAGCGTGTTCTGAGCCTCTTTTTTTTGACCATCCTTCAGTATGTTACTCCTGACCTTCTTTCTCATACTATATCACAGTTTCCAAACTAGTGGGCTGAATGTGGCCCTGAGATGTATTTTGTTTGGCCTGTGAAGTGATATATCCAAGAAACCAAAGGCATTGGTTGGTAGCATGTAAGAACTGGGAGATTTCACCTAAAAATCCATATTTCCAGCTTCTCAAAAAGGCAGTCAACATAGCCAGGATTTCCTTACGGCAGCACTCAACAAGAGCTGAGTGGTGGCTGGGCATGCCCTCCTGTTCCTATGTGCCCACCACCATCTCCACCTGGTCTGCTAACTTAAATTTCTTGTCTCAGTCAAAGATGCCTAGTTCCCAAGCCAAAACCCTGGCATTATCTTAGACCATTTCCCTTTATGTTCCCCCTTTTGGTTTATTCCTTACTTAATTAGACTTTGTGGATGTTTAGCTATCTTACTGGTCTTGGTTTAATCTCAATGTTCTATTTTCTAATCTATTCATTGCTACTTTTTACTTTGATTAGCTACTTCCTTTTGTTTTCTATGGTGTTTAATATTTGGTAGAAGCTTCTGAAAAATATAAAAAATATGTATATGTATTTGTATGTGTGTGTTTGAGTAGAATATCGAGAGGTTTATTCATCCTGGTGATAAGTAAATGCTGGTCTATAAACTGATCCCATTGGCAAAATAACAAAATTTCGTACAAGATAGTGACTTTTTCATAAAGCAAATTTATTTAATTTAAAGAAATGTATATGTTATATTCCTTTAGCATAAAGGTTTAAAATGTCCTTTCTTTTATGAAATTATGGTGATAGTAGTTGAGAGTGAATTTTTATAAACGACCTTACTGGACAAAATTAAGAATGGATAACTCTATTCCTTATAAATCTCTTCCTGTTTTAAAGTCTGTGAACTGCTAATATATTTTCAACCATATAACCAATTTAAGGGTTTGTATAACATTTGCAACCAAGACCCTCATTTGAACCCCTCTAACAAGAGTGCACTCAGATATCTAAGTAATAAGTTGAAGTAAAGCTGGTATAAAGAAGAGGATAGTGGCATGCAGGTGGCAGCAGGGAGATAGGTCCCACACTGGGCATGTGTTAGCACCTATCAGCCCCAAGGGTAGTGCATGCACACCTGATATTTGTTGACAAAAAAGTGGAGGTCTTGATTTGGATGTGTATGTGAGATTGTACAAAAGCAAACATAACTACCTTTCTTTCCTTGAACACTTACTTTGTGCCCAGTAGTGTGTTAAATGCTTTGATGTGTGGCTTATTTACTCCTCACAGAAAGCAGGGGTTGATATTTCATCTCTGTTTTAAAGGTAATGGAAATGAGACTTGAAAAGGTTAAGAATAAATAACTTGCTCAAGCTACATAGCTAGCAAGTGACCTTAGAAGGCAGGCCTTTGAGAACCCAAAGCCCTTTAGATCAAACCTTCCATTTCCATATTTAAAAAGAAAACTAACCAACGGAAACCTAATACCCTTCTTTATTACAGGACAGAATTTCTATGGTAGTTTTCAAGTACATGAAGCATCTACCCATGTTTGAAACTTTTACCCCAAGTGTCAGATCACGTTTTAATCACAAAATAAGCATGCCAAAACAAATGAAATAGTCCATTGGTTTCTGCCATAGCCTGTGTTTATAAACTCCTGTTTTTCATGCATTTTTCCAACTTTTCAAAATGTTTAAATTTGTCACAAAAGTCCCTCTGATAGTAAGAATTAGCTGGGTTCTTTTGTATTATGGAGTGTTAATAAGTAGAATGAGCCTTCCCTGTGTTAATAAAATTAATGATTGTTTTACTTTGAGGGTCCTTGAGGTCCTAGGATGCTATATATTTTAGCATTCTCACAGCACTTTATACTTCCCAAGTAGTTTATAATCATGAGTTAGCTATTTCCCACACAATCTCAGTGGAATAGCTTGGTATTTCTTGTTGTTTTACTGATGAGAAGAGAGATAGGTATAGCCAGTTTGACTGACTTTCTAAGTTTACATAGTAAGTCAATAACTCTGTCTAGATTAACATTCAACGTTAGGTTCCTAGTTCTGTGCTGAATTCACAGGCTGATGCTGTCTCAAAAAATCTGGTGATTTTTCAATTTTTCTGCCAAATGGATTGATTTCTGGTTGCTGGGAAAGCTCCAGATGCTGACTTTCCACAAAGCTAATCTCTACAGCAGAGAGATCAGCAACCCTTTAATTTTCAGCAGGCCATCCATAGAGAGGGTGTTTAAGATGCAGGTCAAAACTCAAAACCTTAAAAGAGCAAACTCTATCACTTTTTCTATATCTTCTTTGGTTTAAATGTCTTAATAAACCTGTATCTATGCCACAGCAATCCACTGCCAATTATTACCCAACTCTCATCTCCCCCTTCACATCCTAAATTGTGGTTTGTCACAATCTTCCCCGTGTTATAACCTATCATTTCATCTCTGTCCCTTCTTTCTCTGTTAGGTGGAATAGTACCGAAGCCTCATACTAATGATTGCTGTCCCTGCCTCCAGTCTTATTCCCTTGAACCTTCTTCCTTTATGTTACACAAGTGAACTGCCAGAAATACAAATCTGAATATGGCCTTCCTGTATTGTTTATATTTTTAAAATGTTCTGTATATCATGATGCTTTGACATCTTAAAAAACCTGTTTGGCTTGGGAGAGACTGCTCTTATTGGAGATAGCAAAGATTGGGCACAGACTGGAGCATGCCTTATGCAAACTAACAGTCCTGAGCCACACCTCCTCTGTCTGGCCTATGCACCTTAGGAGTTTCCCTTCATTATTATCCCAAGGCCAGGTACGAGACACCTAGGGACCACCCCTATGGCCTCAGGCCCACCAGAATTACTCAAACTAGCATGTCCTAAACTGTCCTTCCCTGCTCTGTCTTTCTCGTGGAAATCCCAATAAACGCTCTGGCCTGGACTTTACCCTCACTGCCCTCCTGAACACGTGGCCCTGCATGGCATGCCGAGCCTCCTGTTTCTAGGGATCTGAGTACAGACTTCCTTCATGACAATCACTTCCATGTATATGCATCTTACCATATCTGATTAAAATAAATTCTGGATCTCACCTAAACTCTCCAGTTGTTCCCCCTCTCCTTATTGTGGTATTTAAAGGAGAGCTTTCATGAAAGACTGGTCTTGTGTACCCCTCCAGTGTCATCTCCCATCACTCTTTTTTTTAGACTTATGCGCTAGAATTAATTATTTATATTCCCCATGGCTCTGTGTTTTTCATGCCTCTGAACCTTTTCTTCATGATTCTTTTATTTAAATATTTTTCCCCCCTTCATATTTATTTCATCAACTGGTTAATTCTTTTTACTCCGTTATGACTGGACTCAACAGCAGGAAATCTTCCTTGAACCAACAGACCAGGCTCTTTGCCTCTTTCTGTACTTCTTTAAATTAGTGTTTACCTTATTGTGTTGCACTGTTGGCTTCATGGTAGAAGCCAATGCTCTAATCTGGGCCAATAATCTATCTTGTTCAGGAAGTGTTCCCAGTGCCTCAGTGCTGTAATGGTGCCTGGCATGTAATGGGTACTTAGTAAATATTTGATAAATGAATTATCTCATTTCATTTCTAATTTCCTTCTAGACTGTCAGCTCTTTGAGAACAATGACTATGTCTCATTTGTATACTATGCATCTTGGACAATGCCTGCCAAATAGTAGTCACTTGATGTTTTTAACTTCTGTGACCCTCACTTTTCTTTTTTCCTATATTTGTATGAACTTATGCCACTGATAGATTTAAATAAGGTACTCTTTTGGACAACATCTCAAGTAAAATTGTCAATTTAACTTAAGGAACATTTAGTACATGTCTGCCCCATACCAAGTATGATGTTAGAGAATGCTATTCAAACGTGGCTTAATATAGCAAGGAAAAAATATGAAAAGAACAAAAATACAAAGTATAAAATGCGAAACTGGAGTTTGTATAAAGTCCTCTTTAAACATAGATGTTGAGGCACTTAATTATGCCTGGGCAGGTCATGGTTCAAGAAAAACAACAGTAGAAATATTTTATCAGGTTCCTCAAAGGATTAGAAACAGGGAGGTAGAGAGGTAAAAAAGGTATAAAGGCCAAATGAACAGCTTGAGCAAAGGGGTAAATATACTCCATGCTGTTGCGGAATAGCAAGTGGTCTCCTAAGGGTAGAGTACAGGGTTAGTTAAAGGAAGTGGCATGTGAAATAGTTGGGGCTAGACTGTGATTAATTTTTAGTCTTAATAATTGGGATTTTAACTTCTAAGCAGTGAAGGGTCATGACAAGATTGTATGTTGCAGGCATAGATTTATTGTAGAAAGATGGCTGGTGACAGTGCAATGCAGAGTGTATAATGGAAGCAGAGAGTGGTGCAGGTAAGAGGTGATTAGACTTTGGCCTATGATATCAGCAGTGCAAAGAGAAGCAGACAGATGTGAATGGTGGTGATGTGATACATCTGTATTGAATTAACTAAGCTAAGCTCAGACTCTATCCCAGGATCCCCTTCTCTGTGTAGTTTCAGGTCAGTCCTGGCTAGAAGAGACATTATGCACAAAGTTTGAAAGTCACAAGTGAAAAGGGAGCTTGGAAAATCAATGCAATCTGTAAAGGAGCTTCAGTTATTAATATCACGCACACTTGCTGATTTGCTGGGTCATGGATTGAATTCACAGCTGAGCCTGCAGTTTCTCCCATTCCTGCCAGATCTTCTTTAGCTGGTCTGGATCTTGGGCAGGCACATCTCCTGGCACAAGAGCAACGGCTGTCAATGCCCAGAAGTAGCTGAGAAGAAGAAGAAAAAAGCAAAAGCTGCACATAAATGGCTTATCCAGCTTCCAGAATTACATAAGCTCAAATTCATAAAATAAATACCATATTCTATATAATTCCTAATTGTTTTTGTTATATATATATTTAATTGAATCTCGACACAGAATTTGCTGCTACAACAAAATAAGTCATGTAGTAAGAGTTTTGGGACTGGGCCTTGAGTGTTTGTTAAGAAGAGCTTTTAAGAGGCTTAACAAGGGCCTAAGGTCACTCCAGGAGGCTGTTGGTGATATATATATATATATATTTAATATCAGAATATTAGTGGGATACAACTGTTTTGGTTACGTGGATGCTTTTGTCCTGCTTGAGTCAAAGTTATGAGTGTGCCCATCACCCAGATAGTGTACATTGTACCCATTAGTGTACATGTACCCATCCCCTCTCTCCCCAACCTGCCTTATTTCTGCTGTGTTTTACTTACATCTGTGCATGTGAGTGCTGATCAGTTAGTTCCAATTTAATAGTGAGTACATGTGGTGTTTGTTTTCCCATTCTTGCAATACTTCACTTATAAGAACGTTGTCCATTTCCATCCAGATTGTTGCAAAAGGTATTAATTCATTTTTTATGGTTGAGTAGTACTCCATTGTATACATATACCACATTTTATCAATCCACTCAAGAATTAACATGCACTTGTGTTGGGGTCAATGGGGGGAATGGAGAGTGATTGTTAAGGCTACAGGCTTTCTTTTGGGGTGATGAAAGTGTTCTAAAATTGATTGTGGTGATCATATACAACTTGGTGAATATACTAAAAGCCATTGAATTGTATACTTTTATTATTTAAGAGACAGGGCCTCACTCTGTGTCCCAGACTGGAGTGCAGTGGCACGATCATAACTCCCTGTAGCCTCAAACTTCTGGGCTCAAGTGATCCTCCTGCCTGAGCCTCCTAAGTAGCGAGGATTACAGGTGTGCACCACCACACACAGCTAATTTTCTTGTAGAGACGGGGTTTGTTTTACTGTATTGCCCAGGCTGGGTTTGAACTCCTGGCCTCAAACGATCCTCCTGCCTTGACCTCCTAACGTGCTGAGATTACAGGTATCAGTCTCTGTGCCCAACCAAATTGTATACTTTAAATTGGTGCATTGAATTATAGCTCAATAAAGCTGTAGCTAAAAAAAAAAAAAAGGAAAAAAAATATGAAGAGAGGCCTTTGGAAACTTGAACTTCTATGGACAGAAAGCAGTCTGAGAAAACTACTTGGCAAACATTGGTTACCTTTTATGGAAAAGGAAAGAAATTCAGAGAATGGAATCAAGAGCCCAAAGAAGGGAACCAAGAGCTAACCCTAGGCAGTAGGATTGAGCCCTAATCAAGGAACTGACAACATGCCTAGTTAGATTTCAGGATTGCTATGAACCAGTGGCTGCTTTGTCTCTCTGATTTTTCCTCTTTTTTTTGAATGGGACTATTGCCTGCCCTGTGTTGCACCCATTATTGTATTCTGGATATATGGGGACAGATAACTTGTGTCTTTAGTTCATAGGTCGCCAAGTCAATGAACTGTACTCAAACTGAACTGAAGGAATTGTCCCTGAGGAGCTGTACCCACCTTTGGACCTAATTTAGATGACAAGATCTCTGGACCTGATTCTTTAATGGATGAAACTTTTGGGTAAGAGGGTTCTTGGGAAAGAGTATCTCTATTGTGCATATGAAAGGAGTCTAAATAGCTCATGACCACAGGGTGGGCTGTGATAGATTTTAGAACATGTCCACAAATTTTTGGTCACTTGCCATCAGGAGGCAGAGTCTAATTTGTCTTCTTTTGAATATGGGCTGGCCTCAGTGACTTGCTTCTAGTGAAATGGATGTAGCTGAAGTGATGCTGCATGACTTCTGAAGCAGGGCCACGAAAGTGATACAGCTTCCATTCCACTTTCTCTTGGGATGCTCACCTTTAGAACCAAGCCACCATGTTGGGAGGAAGCCCAAGTCACATTGAAGAGGCTACATGTGTAGGCTGACCACTCTGAGATCCTAGCCAACAGCCAGCATCTACCACCAGATGTAGGTAAATGAGCCTTTAGATGAATTATGCTTCTAGCCCTTGAGCTGTCACCAAGAGAAGTATATGCAAGCTCTGCCCAAATTAAGATTTGTAAATAAATCTTGTTTTAAGCAATTAAGTTGTATGGTGATTTGTTTCCCAGTGATAGATAATTGGAACAGGTGGCATTAACAGTATTGATTGCATAATGGAAGGAAGGGAGAAAAGGGAATCAAGAATGTTTACCATTTTTGTTTGGACCTAGAATGTTTTCTGAGTTCAGCAAATTAACAGAAAGCAGTGTTAGATTGCAGTGGCCTGTTAATAAATTGCCAGTGTTTGAACAGCGTCAGCTGTGTTACAGCCACACAATAATTACTTTAGAGATGATAATTATCATGAGATTTTTAAAAAGCCTTATCAGTTTGTTTAGATAGTACTAGCTTTATTATTCTTAGGAAAGTAAACTAATTTCAGAGTCAAGCGGTTGAAAGATAAGTTTGGAAGAGATAAGTCAAAGAGCAGTGATTAAGAAGCTGAAAAATTATTTTATCATTTTAGCAACTGAATGTCACTATTAATCAGCACCTCTTATTTTACAGTTGTGACACTAGAGATGTTTATTATTATAATACCTTTATAAATTTAGTGATCCTTTTTCTTATAACTTTGGTACTTGCTTTACCTTCTTATTGGAAAAGGTCTTGTCTCTAACAGCATTCTCCCCGAAGCCTTCCCTGGTCATCCTATTTAAACATGTGAACTTCTCTCTTCCTGTACTCCCTGTTTCCCTTTCCTGCTTTATTATTTTTCCTTGGTACCGATCACCGTCTAACATGCTAGATTTGCTTATTCTTCTTGGTTGTCTTTCTTCTCCTACTATATAATAGAAAGTATTTTCCCTGAAAAAAGTTTTTTTTTTTTTTTTTTTCCTTTTTCATTCATTCCTCTATTTCCAGTGCCTACAACAGTGTCGGGCAGGTAGTATGTGCTCAATAAATATTAGTTGAATGAACAAATGAAGTCTGAATTCCAAAGGAAGAATTGATTTGTGTACAGAGTGCTTTTAGTACAGAATGTATTTTATAAAGTTCAAGTTACAGTGTTCAAGTTCAGCAATCTAAATGTGGCACATATATATATGTACCCAAATGCCTCCAGGCCTCCTCATATCTGGGTACAAATAGGGTTGGGATCAACTATCTCTGGGTACAGCTCATCCTCCTTCCTCTCCTTTTTGTCTTTGTTTTAATCTTTCGTTTGGAACTTCTTAAACATACACAAATATAATAAGACTAGTATAATGAACTCTTATGTACCTATTACTCAGCATTAATAATTATCAACATTTTTTCAATCTTGTTTGATCTGTTTTCTTCCACTTAGTTTCCCCCGCCCCCTGGATTATTTTAAAGAAACCTGAAGACATCATTATATTTCACCTGAAAATTTCAGTCTGCATTTCTAAATGTTAAGCTCATTTAAAAATTAAAACTACCATCACACCATTTTCACACATAACAGAATATTTCCTATCACCTGCTACCTAGCCCATGAACAAGTTTTCCTGATTGACTCCCAGATATTTTATTCAAGTAAGAATTCAAATACAGTCCAGACGTTGCATTTGGTGGTTATTTGTCTTAAGTTTACTCCATAGCAGTTTCCCGTCATTTTTATTAATGGCATTGATTTGTTGGTGAAACTTTGTGTCATTTGCCATGTAGAATTTTCCGTGTTATAGATTTGTCTGAGTGCTTCCCTGAGACAAATGTCTTCTCTAGTCCTCCTATTTTTGTAAATGGTAGTTACATCTTGAAGCCATGATTAGATTCAGGTTTAATTTGGGGGCAAGAACATTTCATAGGTGGTGCTATGTACTTTTTATTGCATCACTTCATAAGGCTTATAATATGTGATTGTCTCAATTTTAATGATGCTAAAATTGATTAGTGGGTTATTAGCCCGATCACTTACTTATTAAATTTCTCATCAACCTTTCATCTAATACTTTTAGCATCCAATTATGATTTTTGCATAGATTCATTATTTTATTAGAATTTACAAAAATAGTGATTTTTTTCCAAAGCTGTTTTCCTCCCTCATTTATTAACTTCAATTCCTCTGTGAGTAAGAACTTTATTAACTATTAGGTTATACTGACATGCAGTTTGTATTGGAAGAGCAGAGTAAATGCTTAAGTTTTTTTTCCTTTATCAATTTTGAGATTGAGTCGGTGCCCTAGCAATTCCCAATGTGATTAATAAGTTCCTTTTTAAATAAAATGCCATTATGAGCTCTTAGATTTTAATATGTTTTGTGTTTTAGTCCACTCTAGATTATTTTTTCTGATCCTCAATATTTTAGACTATTGGGAGCTCCTAGAAGTTGGCTTCTGTGTTTTTTTGATGTGATTTCATTAGTCTTTGATAAATTCCATGTCTCTGGCATAAGATATCGTAGGCTTATCTTGTACATTTTCTGCCCCAAACCTGGACCAGCCATTTCTTCTCCCTACCTTTTACATAGAAAATCATTTAGTGCCTTCCACCTTCAATATTGCGATGTCAGAATGTTTTTGTTTCCATGACACAAAAATTCTGCAATTAGAGGTTCTAAAGCTGCATAATAAAGAACTCTAATCCTTAATGGTTACCTTCTTCATTTTCTACTTCTCTTCCAAGATCATGGCTGAGAGATTGTTAATAAAAGCATTGTATGGTGGTAAAAACACTAAGATTATTACTTTGAATGGGAAGAAGATGAAAAAGATGCCTTCAGCATTAGGAAGACTGCCCGGCCTGAGGATTCTACTACTTCAGAATAACCTAATTTCCAAAGTGTGCCCAGAGATAAGCATCTTGACCCAGGTGAGGAACAGCCTATCTTTTTGGATTGAGGATGGAAAATAGGAAGAGAGAAAAGAGGTGAGAGACAGAATAATAAGACTTTGATGTCTCTGGAGACAATGCAGTGTGGTGTTGGAGAGACATCAGAAAGCTTTCTGGTTTAGGGAATTACATGTGCTAGGGAGAGAAGATGTTGCAATTTATACATGTGCTCTTTGGCCCACATCTGGAATCAGAGGAGTAGGTCTCTGCAATGCTCATCTTTCTGGAGGCTGTCATCTGGAAAGGGGTTGGAAGCCTGGATCTGCTCATCTCCCATGGGGGCTCACATCTGCAAGTAGGTTTGAGGATCCTGGAGATGCTGTTGATCCTAGGGACCATCCTGAAGCTTTTGCATGTGGAGTGAAGAGACATTTAGGATGTAGGAAAAGGGGGTTCCTTTTTAGTGTCCTAGAGCAGGCTGAAACTTTGAAATGGAGTATTGGCAGGGAATAGAAAATAAGCTCAGTTCTTCTGAAATAGTCTTTAAAAGAAGGTTAATATATTATATAAAGAATACTCTTTTACAGTTGACATGAATGAATCCCAGATGCTTGTGTAAAACATTTCTGCCTAACAGTGTGAAACTCAAGATTCTAAAATCTTGAGGTTGAGAGAAGGCAAGGGATCTTACCTTTGTAATTTTCTTTCTGTTTACTTGTGAACTGTCATCAACACTAAAAGAACATAGCTATACACAGCTAAGGGATTGTAGCTCACTAATTTTGAGATCAGAATTCCAAAAAAAATAAATCTCTATTTTCTTACCTTCACCTTTCATTATTTCCTTTTAGGTTTAAAAATTTATTTGAACTTGTAATCAACGGTTGTATCTTTACAAGAAATGGGGTAATATTCACAAATTTCCTCTTCAGCAGTAACTTCAAAGAGTGCACTTGTAGTTATAGTACAAGAACTTGGACTTTTCTAATGGGACAGAGAAGTTTCTGTGCAAATAAAATGTAGGACTTAACTGAGCCACAAACCCATTCTCTCCCTCGCTTGAATTTTATTTCCATTACTGCATATTGTTTTAAGAAAATTGATAGAACACAAGTTTGAGGTTGAATAAAAAAAATAATAAATAAAATTAAAAAAAAAGAAAATTGAATACTACAAAAAATATATGATAATAAGAAGCTATCTTCTGTCTACTTTCCCTGACCCTTAATCCTGATCTCCATATGTAACCACTTTGAACTCATCTTTTTTTGATTTGTCTATTTTAGACATCATTCTTCTTCATCACACAAATAAAGTTATATTAATATGTTTAGTTTCTCCATAGTTATCATTTAATATTATTACACTTTTATTTCTTCTTTCATTAACTACAGTCTCTTCTTACTCCTCACATTGTAAGATGACAGTATCAGCCTCTATAATCTGCCTTCAGCTCTCCTTCCTTTCTTCTCCCTCTAAATTTCTTACTTTTATAAGATTTATAGTATTTACATCCTATCAATTATAACCATGATTAAATCTATAACTGGTTCAGCTACTTACCAGCTGAATATAAAGCACTTAATCTCTCTGGGCCCCAATTTCTGCCTTCATTTGTTTAATCTACAAATAAGAGTTGAGCACCATCTGTGTCTCAGGCATTGGGAACTAGTGATTCAATAATGGGTGAAACAGGTAGAAACCCCTCCCTTCATAGAGTTTACAGTCTAGTCAGAAGAGATGTAAGAAACAACTAAGCAAAATAGGATGTGAGGTAGTGATTAGCACTAAGGAGAAAATAAGGCGGGTAGAAGGTGCAAGGCATGTTGTGGCTGTCAGCTGACGTGTCAGAGGCCACATGTGTCCCCAGAGTGTCCTACTGGGCTTCATAACTTGGCAACATGTATGTGAGAGTTCAATGACCATAATAATTATTTATCAGTTTTCTATGAATTTCCCAAATGTACTTTTCAAAAGTTAGTTTTAATTCTTTCTTGTGTTGCTACAGGTCATACTTTTTATCAATAATGATCGAAACTACCTATCCACCTACTACTTTTGCTTCACTTAGCTTTGCCTATTCTGTGCTTGTGTTTTGGGCTAGCCTTTTGTCATCATAGGAAGTCCAGTTTGCCCCAATATACTGATTTTTGGGTCATATCTTCCACAGCATGCAAAGTATTAAAAAAGTCGTGATTTTATTGAAGTTCTTAAAGATAATACTTTAAAATTTCTGCACTCACAAAATGCAATCAACTAGAATAATATCAACCATTTATTGGGAGCCAGGCACAATGCTAGGGGTTCTTTATTCATTTTCTGTAATCTTGTAAGGACGTTATGACCCTCATACTGTTAATAAAATTTATGGTTCAGGAAGAGGTTACTTGTCAAAGGTCACCCAAACAGTATACACATCTATAAAATGAGGTCTCTTTGGAGGTTGCTTTCAGCTCTATTGTTTAATTATTCTATTTGTTTAGAGTAAAATTTACCACGGTGTAGTGTTCAATTTATAGTTCCTAAAAACAAAAACTGAGTTGCCTGCATGGATTTGAACACTGCATGGATTGTTCCCACCCCCCATTTTTGTACATTATTCTTTTAACAAATATTTACCATTCATTTCCTGAGGATACAAGTGTGCACAAAATATGGTCCCTGACTTCATGTTTGGAGATTAAATTAAATGTTAACATATATAAAATTCCATGGCACATAGAACTTTCCAATAAATTTTAGTTGCTATTATGATTAGTATTAACATTATGGTATAAGTAGCAATAATGATTAAATGGGAGAGAGGGAGTTCTTTAGAGAATACAGATCCTACCTCTTCTTTTTACTTTGCTAATTTGATTAGTGAAGCTTTGCAAAATTCCAATCACTTCTAATGGTAAGAAAAAAAATGGGTTAATGTCCTAATTTATAGTGAATGCATTTGGCCTATGACTGTTGAAGTGCTGGGATGTCAATAATTTTCAAAGGAGCACTTTATGAGTTTTGAGGGCAAAGACCTTGTGCTGTCCTTATTACTTGGCACCTAGTAAGTCATATAATGTCAACTTCAATGGAATAGAATGGAAACAATTTTCAAAGTCCAGCTTAACCAAACACAGTACCATCATGATTATGGAATCACATAGGAATAAAAGTCTCTCATAGGTAAATTATCCATAATTTTTAAATCCCCAGAGAAACAAACAGCCATCATCTCTAATTATGTGCAGCTTTGTGGCCATGCATCGTAAAGTCTAATGGCAGTGTGGCAATGTTCCCCTTCTGCTGCTCACTTGTGTAGCCGCCCAGGACAAAGATATGGTCTGCCAAAACTTGTTATTTGACCATAAACAACTGACAGTAAATAATGCCAACTCCAAGCATAATTGGGTAGTTTGCAAATTTGTTGCTGTGTCCCTAATCTCTCCTTTTCATGTGTTTATTGTCCTTAATGACCCCTAACCCAATCAACTTCATTCATTCATTCTTATATTTAATAGCTAGCTATGTGTGCCTGTAGTAGACTCTGCTAGGTGGTGGCAATATAAAAAGGAACAAAATCATTCATGTATCCCTATTCTCAGGTTTAGTGGGGAAAGGTAATCAAACATACAAATAAATACAAAATTACAATTGTGAAAAGTGCTGTGAAGGAGATTTGTATTGTGCCATGAGAGTCTCTTCTCAGGAGTTGGGGAAGGTGATTCTGAGGAAGAACAACTGAGCTAACATCTGAAGGGTAAGAATTATGCAGAGGAACAGGAGAGAGATGTCCACATGCAAAGACTTCCCCTATCTCTTCCTCCTTGGGTATTCTGGTCTTTCTCTCTAGCCCTAGCAGAACAGAAAGGATCTTATATAATTTATACTGTTGGTCAGCACAGGCCTTTCCTTTCTCCCGTCTCATCCAGTGGAAATCTTTTCTTCCTCCAGCAAGTAGGTGATTCCTCCTATTTTCTAAGCCTGGCTATTAAAACAGGGATGCATTATCCTGGTTTATTGTATCCGTTGTATCTGGTCCTGGTGCAGGGGCACCTAGAGAATTTATCTGCCCCAAGCTCCTTTTATTCCTCCTGTGCCTCTGCTCCCTAGCCCAGGCCTGCATTAAGCCTCCCAGACTCTACTGGAACTCCAGCTTCTCCCTCTAGCTGGCAGGCAGGCACGTAGAAGAGACTTAATTGACCTTCTCCTCATTTTCCAGCCTGGTGATATAGAACAGCTCATAAAATTCCTCCATGCCTCACTGGAGTTGTCTGTAAAATGGGCCTCATCATTCCTAGTTCCTGAAGTTGTGGTCAACATTACCTACCTCATTTATAATGCCTTATCCATACTGGTTACTTAGGAAATTTTACCCCTGCTCTCATTCAGATTTCCAAATGCTTAGTTCTTCCAAACACTTAGGATTTTACGTTTTCATTGAATGTCAGTTTTGTGTTGTAATTCTCTTTTCTGATGATTTGGAACACTTGTCCTTCCTTATGTATTCTTTCCTTATGAAGCTTCTGACAGGGTGTTAAAAGGTAATGCCTTGTTAATACTTTTACTATGAATGCAGTAGAGATCCCTTCCTACATTTAGTGAGTGAGATGTGCCAATTCCATGACACTGGCCTTAACTTTGGTCTTTAAGGGGCCAGAACTAAGAGGTTGTAGAGGTCTCCACAAAGTACCTAGAGATTATATACCATGGTGGCCCTTGTAAACCTCCCTCAGTTTCTAATGAAATTATAATTGTTTTGAGAAATCTGACTTTATATGTTAGAAAGTTACTGCAAAATTAAATGATAGTTTTGAAATTGGCAGTTATTCACATAAGCAAATTCCTTCAGGAACTGCTGGTTTAAGAAGCAGCATTTTGGCAGTTGTATTGAACAGTGGTTTTAAAGATGCCACAGATTTCTAAAAAGAGGCATTTCTAAAAGTTAAGAGGGTGAACCATAATGCTCCCCACTTGGTCATATACATATTAATTCAAAAATGTAAAATCCATGTTATTTTTCTCTCATTAATTTAATTCAGTTAGTTTTACAAAATAGT